CGACAAGATCATCGGAGAATGGAAACTCAAGGTCGATGACCTTGCTGCCGAACTTGACGCCAGCCAGAAGGAATGCCGCAATTACTCCACTGAATTGTTCCGTCTTAAGGGTGCCTACGAAGAAGGCCAGGAGCAGCTCGAGGCTGTCCGCCGTGAGAACAAGAACCTCGCCGACGAAGTCAAGGACTTGCTCGACCAGATCGGCGAAGGTGGACGCAACATTCACGAAATCGAAAAGGCCAGGAAGCGCTTGGAGGCCGAGAAGGACGAACTCCAGGCCGCTCTTGAGGAGGCCGAGGCCGCTCTTGAACAGGAAGAGAACAAGGTTCTTCGCGCTCAACTCGAGCTCTCTCAAGTCAGACAGGAAATTGACAGAAGGATCCAAGAGAAGGAAGAGGAATTCGAAAACACACGCAAGAACCACCAACGCGCTCTGGACTCCATGCAAGCTTCCCTCGAAGCCGAGGCTAAGGGCAAGGCTGAGGCCCTGCGCATGAAGAAGAAGCTTGAGGCTGACATCAACGAGCTCGAAATCGCTCTTGATCACGCCAACAAGGCTAACGCTGAAGCACAAAAGAACATTAAGCGCTACCAGCAACAGATCAAGGACCTGCAAACCGCCCTCGAGGAAGAACAACGCGCTCGCGATGACGCCCGTGAACAGCTCGGCATCTCGGAACGCCGTGCCAACGCTCTTCAGAACGAGCTCGAAGAGTCCAGAACTCTCCTGGAACAGGCCGACCGTGCCCGTCGCCAGGCCGAACAAGAGTTGGGTGACGCTCACGAACAGCTTAACGAGTTGTCCGCTCAAAGTGCGTCGCTCTCTGCCGCCAAGAGGAAACTGGAGTCCGAATTGCAGACTCTCCACTCCGATCTGGACGAGCTCCTCAACGAGGCTAAGAACTCCGAGGAGAAGGCCAAGAAGGCCATGGTCGATGCCGCCAGGCTCGCCGATGAACTGCGCGCCGAACAGGAACACGCTCAGACCCAGGAGAAACTCCGCAAGGCTCTTGAACAACAGATCAAGGAGCTCCAAGTCAGGTTGGACGAGGCCGAGGCTAACGCCCTCAAGGGAGGCAAGAAGGCCATCCAGAAACTCGAACAGAGAGTTAGGGAACTCGAGAACGAACTCGACGGTGAACAGAGGAGTCACGCCGACGCACAGAAGAACCTGCGCAAGAGCGAGAGGCGTATCAAGGAGCTTACCTTCCAGGCCGAAGAGGACCGCAAGAACCACGAGCGCATGCAGGACCTCGTCGACAAACTGCAGCAGAAGATCAAGACCTACAAGAGGCAGATCGAAGAAGCAGAAGAAATCGCCGCCCTCAACTTGGCTAAATTCCGCAAGGCTCAGCAAGAGTTGGAGGAGGCCGAGGAAAGGGCAGACCTCGCTGAACAGGCTATCAGCAAATTCCGTGGCAAGGGACGTGCAGGATCCACCGCGAGAGGAGTCAGCCCGGCGGTGAGTGTCGTTTTTAAATAAATTATACACCTACATTAATTTCAACGGCTTAGTTAAAACTTTTTGATCTTTATCCAAATAAGAAAGTTATTATTATGGATATTGAAATACAAAAACAGAATATTAAGTTCACACTTTAACTTGCTAAATAAAATATCTTCTCTTCAGGCGTCCGTTAAAGGTCGCCCCTAGATCACCACAGGAGTCTAAGTAAGTGAAAGAGTGGTTCAACCTTATAGCACTTTAGACAGTGCCACTCCCATACCTTTACTGCCACAAGAGAAAACTGATCGATATAAGAGCTATTAAAAACATTGTTGGAAGCAAGGAAAAGATCTTGTTTTCTTATTTGTGGTTGTAACAATCTTTATAGACACCTTTGGTGCCATAGATCCTAATCTGAGTTTTGTTTTATCGATTAAGAATGGACCCATTTTCTTTGAATCTCAATGGGAAAGTCAAGTGAGAAGTTTATGTTCCATCCTTTATTATGGAATTGTTCCTAAAGCACGCGGCATGTCTCCTGCATGTCTTGGAAGCAGTTGAAGTGATGTTTACTAATTAGTTGTCTTTATTCCAGCCCCAACGTACGCGCCCCGCCCTCGACGGTTTCGGCACCTTCCCACCAAGGTTCGATCTGGCGCCCGAAAGCGATTTCTAAACGTTCCAAACAACTCAAAAAACGGACTGTACAGATTTTTCGTTGAATTGTAACTTAAAATAATAAATTGTTATGCCTAGTTAAACGTGTTACGAATGCCTGAAACGAGAAACTGTAAATTAAGTAACCATGCAACCTTTTTTAACGCCAAAAAAACATTTACATTAGAATCTTAATCTTTTTACGGAAGGCTATTTTATAATTTGTTGATATTTATTATTATTTATGATAATTTATTACCGTGGAGTATGTATCGTACGGAGCGGAGCGGAGGGGTGCGCGCGGGGCCGCGACCGCAGAGACACACCCGCCAGCCCCGCACCGGCCCCGCGTACACCCCCCCGCCCCCGCGTCTCCTTTGACATCCAATAAAGCGATATCGTTGTCAGAAAACATTTACCTGCATTTTTCTTTCAAACCAACCCTTTTCATTACCCTTGATATCAGTTAATTTGAGATTATTGAACAAAAGTTTAAATACAAGATTTTATTATACATTGCCAGTAAAAATAGCAACTGAATTTACCCAGAAATATTTTTATTTACAAAGGAGAGGGACAACCATGTTGGAGCGACCGCATACACTTAAATCACATCACAATACTATCCCAGTTTATCAATATTCACAAGAAACAGGCAGTAGGCAAAAGTAGACAAAATTAGTAGTTGTAGGCAAAATGCAACTAAGAGCGCACCTTTGGTTAAACTAACACACGATTGTGCGATTGTCGATTGTTTCGTTGCCTATTCAACTGTTTAGTGGCACAACTAAAATCGAGCAGTGCACTTCCATTTATATGGAGCTTATGCTTTTAGTAATCTAAGCGAAACTAAACAGTTGTGCTATAATTGAGTAAAAGATTTACACACGGTGTAAAATGTCGAATACTAGATACAAAAATTTAGCAGAAAATTGTTTCGCTTTCTCTCCCCGTATCTTAAAACGATAATGAAGTCTAACTCAGTAGAATGCAGTACGGTAGAAGACGTATGAAATTATATTGCAGTTAGTAATTTTTCATTCAAATTCCTAGGTTCAAAGTCGAGGTATTTTAACCAGTTATTTCTAGACGATGTAAGACATAAACATTGCAAGTTTAATATTAATAATTTGACATAAATTAATTGCATTACACGCATCATTTAATTCTCATTACCAGAGCGAATGACATAGTTGGCGGGCTGCCTGGTCTATTAATAACTAACATTTCTAATCTTACTGTTACCTAAAGGAAGTGGCATGTAACAGCTAAGGGACAACGTTTTCTAATCAGGTCAGATATGTATCGCAAAAGTTCTCATATCAAAAAGACATTCAAATTTAATCTACAAGCAATGAATCTTGAATATTATCGTCAGATAAGAATTGAAGTTGATTTGATACTTTAAAGAGCGGGCGGTTGTGCGATTGTCGATTGTTTCGTAGCCCATTCAACTGTTTAGTTGCACAAATAAAAATCGTATGTTCTATATAAGCTCATAAAAATCAATGCAGGACTAAAAAAAATAAAACCGACTTCCAAACAAAATACACTAAAAACAAAACAAAATGCACTAAAAACAAAACAAAGTATTCTCAAAAAAACAGTACACTAAAAAGTAACGAAATAATTACTTGAAAATAGTAAACCTACCTTATTGTAACTGTTATGTCAATATTGTACAATTA